TACTATTTTTACGTGATGTTAAATAATTATAAAACGATATATAATAAATCGACACTTGACACAATTGAATAGAATCGTATTTGAATTGTTGATCGCTTTCTTAAATTCAATTTCCCTTGAGGTTACCGAATAATCCTTTCTCTCTACAAGTGCAGACTACAAGAGTTGGACATTGATCGAGAAGAAATTAACGAACTATATTGCCGATACGTTAATGCGTGTTGCAAACCGGAGAATTGCCTGAAATATCATTCGCGCCTGTTATATCTCTCGGATTACTTAATTAAATTATGTCATTTGCGACAGAGAAGTCCTCCGATGAATACGACATCGATGGCGAATGAGCCTTGTAGATAATATTATTGCCACTTTTAATCAAGATTATTGGATTTGTAACGGGGAACAAGAAAGAGAGACGTGTGATATTGACATTTTTCATTATTTGGTCAGAGGATTTTAAGCTGATTATTCAGAACTTGACTATAATCTATATAATTATCTAGGTATTGGTATAATGGTGCAGAATTGGCACCCTTAATATTCTTTCTCGATATGCAAAAATATATAGAAAAATATATAGAAAATATAGATATTTATATTTATTATATTGCGCGTTCAAACTTTTACAAAATAAATTATATGCCTAAAATATACATGGATTATTAAATTATCCATTAATTTAGGGCTTTTAATTTAATTTTATAATACATTAATAACAAACTCATAAGATACACAGACAGAGAGTGAGTAATATTCCAAATTACTGCATTTTTTGAAGAATATTCTGTATATTATTTATTTAGAATAAAAAAAGTATAATTTAACAAAATCTTATATATTTACAAATTAAAATAATTGAATAATTCTAATAAATAAAATTGTATTGCATTAAAAAGAAAATATTTGACGCAGTTTAAATATGTCTTTGATATTACGCGTTATCAAGTAGATAACGAAAAAAATCCAGCAACTCAATCAGACACAAGTATAAAGATATTTCAGGTTAAAGCTGTCACTATCTAACATGAATCGAACTTTTCCTCTCGTTTGTGGTGAACGTCGAGAGAAGAATCTGGGTTGCGAGAGGATCGAAGACGATGGGACGATGGAGTGTCGTGTCTATTAAAATCTTATATATTTACAAATTAAAATAATTTAATAATTCTAATAAATAAAATTGTATTGCATTAAAAAGAAAATATTTAACGCAGTTTAAATATGTCTTTGATATTACGCGTTATCAAGTAGATAACGAAAAAAAATCCAGCAACTCAATCAGACACACAAGTATAAAGATATTTCAGGTTAAAGCTGTCACTATCTAACATGAATCGAACTTCTCCTCTCGTTTGTGGTGAACGTCGAGAGAAGAATCTGGGTTGCGAGAGGATCGAAGACGATGGGACGATGGAGTGTCGTGTCTATTAGAAGGAGGCAAGAGTTTTATTGCCCAGCTGATAACGAATGAGAAGCTTTACTTTCTAGTCGGTGTCATGATTCATGAGTTCTTCGCAAAAGATGTAGAAGAGTACGATCCACTCACCGCTCTTTCTTTTGCGTTCCCGCGCTTTTACCTCGCTTTCCCATCCCTACTCGTAAAATCCGGTGAACATATTGTACTTGACTCTCTCATCCTGCTTTACCTTCGTTTACGGAAATGGTGCTCAACTATGTATATATATCTTCCCTTTTCTTCCTTTGCAAATACTTTTCATTTTGTTTACACATTTCGAAGACGATATAAAGGAAAAGAATTTAAACTGACTCGATAATTGACTGGATATAATCTAGATGTTTCGTTATAATATATATTCTTAATGCATACAAAAAATGTTATATCATTTGTTTTTTGTATAATATATTATGAATATTAACATATTATGACTCAATGAAAGGATGTTCGGTCTGTCAATTTGAGACTCGAGTTCAAATCTATTGTGGTATATCATGATATTTTGAATATATCTGTAATAAATCAGTTATTATTTTGTTAGTATTTATTTTATAGAATAATATAAAGGAACAAATATAAAATTTCAGCGCTTTTAGTATATCTCTTAATTATAGAAGAAACTATTATTTGCTTTCAAGCTTATATATGATAAACAATCGTTTTCTCTTTTATTTTCTCATAAATATAAATCTTGAATATAGTTCATTCGTTCAACAAAAGAGCTGTAAGCATGTTTTTAATTTCAGAAATTATTTTCAGCGCTCAAACAATAACGTAAATGCGCATTTATTGTGCAGTCGTATTATCATGTTTTATTGGAATATTTCTTACAATTCAGTTATGTATCAGTTAGCCATTAATAATGCAACATTACATTTTTTAAATAAAAGATCAGTAAACAATCTTATATGTATTTAATGTAACATGATATACATATAATTGGCATATATCAGGAATGGATAATCTTTGATACGAGAAGTATATTCGCATTTTTATGAACTCAGCACAGAATTTCTGCTTCTTCGATAATCTGTCGATTCGCAATCTCGAGAATTCTACTCTTCGTGTTTGACATTGATAGGGTATATATCGCCTTTGGCTCGTGTACTCGGAAAAATGCGAGAGGAAAAGAAAGAACGATGAATAAAAACGGTGAGATTGCTATGCTTATAATGTCATCTGTCGACTGCGGGCGTTAAATTTATGTCATATGTATATCTGTGTTGAAATCATTTTCGTATCTATTATTCGCATTTGTTGCGCTCTTTTATTGATTCTCAAAAGCGCACATTTTTTACCTGATTTAGGGTTACAAATATGACGCACCACTAATATATTCACAATCATTTTTTATTATATTTAGATCTAAATTTTGAAAACGTAGATCTTTTCAAATACCATAAATAATCATCTAGTGTTTATTAAAATGTATGTCTTAAAATCAGAATATAAATTAAATGACGACGTTTTTGCTTGCACCCCTACAGTACGAAATATTGCTAAAATATTGCATAGATATTTTAATATTGCAATAATATTGTAAATAATATTGTAAATATTATAAGTTTAATATTTTATTGGAAACACTGCAAAATATTATTATTATATTATAATGCAATCATATATCTTGTAATAGTTTTTTTTTCATTTATGCGATATATTTTATCTATCTCGTATTTAAGTTTTAGTCGTGAGAATTATATAAATCATGCAAAAAGCGACTATTAGGATTAAATATGTCATAATTATTTTTATTAATTTAATTTTTCTGATACGATTCCAATACAGGGAATTCATAGATATTGAACAGAATAGATTGACAGAAATCGGACAGATAAATATCCGTAATAAATAAATACAAAAAATTAGAAATATTCCAAGTATTTTGTAAATATTGTATTCACGTTGCAATAATGTTCGTCTAAAATAAAGACAATTGTTATCTCCTACAGTTTTTGTTTTTAAATGTGATAAATGCATAAGGCATGTTGCAGTAACTATTATATTATTTTTCAACAATGTTGCAAAATATTGTATTACGTAGGTTCTATATATAATATAAGAAAAAGTTAAGATAACGTCAGAATTGTTATAATGTTAAAAAACGGTGTTATATTAAATATGACCTTATATTTTTATTTTATATAATATATTCTATGCAAAAACCTTCCTGATGATTTTGTTTGTAAATTTCGATAATATTATGTAAAAGAAAAGATTTCAAAATAACTTGACAATAAACTAAATATAATAAGAATAGTTGTTTAAACAATAATTTATTTTAGATTTATTAATATACTTTCGCATATAGAGATATTTGTATATATTATATATAAATATTTATTCTACCAAAATTTAATTAATCTTTGAAGTAGTATCAACCCATTTTTGTCTATAAAATATATAAGTTGGCATTATAATCGCTAAAATCTGTCGCTTCCACTTTTGTTGTAGACTTTTAATGACAATCAACATATTTTTATTTATACAGAACGTTCGAGTTAAGAATCGTCAAAGTCCATAATCATCGATATGACGATCGATTGATATGACAAACAATAAATTCTTCATTTCTTAGAGCAAAGTTGTGTATTTATATAAAAACTATTTATAATGTAAATGTTTATCATTAGGCAAAAAATGTCTATTAGAAAAATAACCTTGAATAAAAATAAATTGCAGCTATAGTATTAAAATAAGCGATGCAATTATTGATAATAATATTTATTGCAAGTGGGTCTAATGTATATAGTAAGTTCTATATTATTTTATCAGTAAGACTTTTAACAACACACAGAAAATAAATTTATACAAGTCAATATATATTGACTTTGCTTATCTTCTTCTTTTCATGTTTTTTGTTTCGCAATTTTAAAACGACAATTTTAAAACGAATTGCATAATGACAAGACAGAATTTACATAAAGATATTGGTTTTCACAAAAGTCTTTTGGTCATTTACAATATTGGCGTTTGATGTACCATGTCGAAGAGAACAATAGTTTCATTGCCAAACTGCGATTATAAATGAGAAAGTCCTCATTTTTCACATTAATTTTGCCTCCTATTGTTAGTCAGCATTATGATTTATGAGTTTCTTTTGCCAGGAATGCAAAAGAATACGATCTATTCTTCGCTTTTTTTTATTCAGCTTTATTTTATTTTGCTGTTCGTGTCTCATAAAATTGTATGAACATATTGAACTCGATTTTTCATTATCGTGCATCTTTTAAGATAAAGATTTTAAACTATATTTTATGTAAATATTTTGCTGCTCGTTTTGTTTATTTCGGAAATGTAAAAAAATAATTCAAAGTAACTTTTTCTTTGATAATTTGCATATATGAATAAATGTAATTATATTAATAATATATTTTTAATATAAATTTACAAAATTATGCAACATTACCAAAATTAATATATTAATTGTTATATTATAAAATTATTATATTAATAAAATTACAATATTATTTTAAATATGAAATATTTTATATATATTATACATATATCTTAAATATAAAAACACAGGATTGAGTACAAAATGCTATTTTATTTTTTTTTTACATACATATTTTATTATTATTGCTTATTGATTGAAAACATAGAAATATAGTTTTCTTTTGTATGTGATAATTTCATTTAATAAATGACATATTTGAGAAGAATAATTTTTTTTTCTTTACTGAATGTTGTGAAAGTTTAGTTTAAAATGCGAGTAGGCTTTTATAAATTCATTTTCAAGATAATCATTATAATTTTTTAAAAATTCATCCCCAGGTTTATCCGTATTGTCTATTGAAGCCCCATCTTCAGGATTATTCGTTTGATCGCTTGGAGATTCATCTCCAGGTTTATCCGTATTGTTTTTTGGAGGTCCATCTTCAGGATTGTCCGTATGATCGTTTGGAGATTCATCTCCAGGTTTATCCGTATTGTTTTTTGGCCCATCTTTAGGATTGTCCGTATGATTGTTTGGAGATTCATCTCCAGGTTTATCCGTATGGTCTTTTGGAGGACCATATCTAGGATTACCCTTGTGGCCCTTTGGAGGCCCTTCAGGTTTACCATTACGATTTTTCGGAGGTCCTTCAGGTTTACCATTATAATAACTTTCAAGATAATCATTATAATTTTTTGAAAATTCATCTCCAGGTTTATCCGTATTGTCTATTGAAGCCCCATCTTCAGGATTATTCGTTTGATCGCTTGGAGATTCATCTCCAGGTTGATCCGTATTGTTTTTTGGAGGCCCATCTTCAGGATTGTCCGTATGATCGTTTGGAGATTCATCTCCAGGTTTATCCGTATGGTCTTTTGGAGGACCATATCTAGGATTACCCTTGTGGCCCCTTGGAGGCCCTTCAGGTTTACCATTACGATTTTTCGGAGGTCCTTCAGGTTTACCATTATAATAACTTTCAAGATAATCATTATAATTTTTTGAAAATTCATCTCCAGGTTTATCCGTATTGTCTATTGAAGCCCCATCTTCAGGATTATTCGTTTGATCGTTTGGAGATTCATCTCCAGGTTGATCCGTATTGTTTTTTGGAGGCCCATCTTCAGGATTGTCCGTATGATTGTTTGGAGATTCATCTCCAGGTTTATCCGTATGGTCTTTTGGAGGACCATATCTAGGATTACCCTTGTGGCCCCTTGGAGGCCCTTCAGGTTTACCATTACGATTTTTCGGAGGTCCTTCAGGTTTACCATTATAATAACTTTCAAGATAATCATTATAATTTTTTGAAAATTCATCTCCAGGTTTATCCGTATTGTCTATTGAAGCCCCATCTTCAGGATTATTCGTTTGATCGCTTGGAGATTCATCTCCAGGTTGATCCGTATTGTTTTTTGGAGGCCCATCTTCAGGATTGTCCGTATGATCGTTTGGAGATTCATCTCCAGGTTTATCCGTATGGTCTTTTGGAGGACCATATCTAGGATTACCCTTGTGGCCCCTTGGAGGCCCTTCAGGTTTACCATTACGATTTTTCGGAGGTCCTTCAGGTTTACCATTATAATAACTTTCAAGATAATCATTATAATTTTTTGAAAATTCATCTCCAGGTTTATCCGTATTGTCTATTGAAGCCCCATCTTCAGGATTATTCGTTTGATCGTTTGGAGATTCATCTCCAGGTTGATCCGTATTGTTTTTTGGAGGCCCATCTTCAGGATTGTCCGTATGATTGTTTGGAGATTCATCTCCAGGTTTATCCGTATGGTCTTTTGGAGGACCATATCTAGGATTACCCTTGTGGCCCCTTGGAGGCCCTTCAGGTTTACCATTACGATTTTTCGGAGGTCCTTCAGGTTTACCATTATAATAACTTTTAAGATAATCATTATAATTTTTTGAAAATTTATCTCCAGGTTTATCCGTATTGTCTATTGAAGCCCCATCTTCAGGATTATTCGTTTGATCGTTTGGAGATTCATCTCCAGGTTGATCCGTATTGTTTTTTGGAGGCCCATCTTCAGGATTGTCCGTATGATTGTTTGGAGATTCATCTCCAGGTTTATCCGTATGGTCTTTTGGAGGACCATATCTAGGATTACCCTTGTGGCCCCTTGGAGGCCCTTCAGGTTTACCATTGCGATTTTTCGGAGGTCCTTCAGGTTTACCATTATAATAACTTTCAAGATAATCATTATAATTTTTTGAAAATTCATCTCCAGGTTTATCCGTATTGTCTATTGAAGCCCCATCTTCAGGATTATTCGTTTGATTGTTTGGAGATTCATCTCCAGGTTGATCCGTATTGTTTTTTGGAGGCCCATCTTCAGGATTGTCCGTATGATTATTTGGAGTTTCATCTCCAGGTTTATCCGTATGGTCTTTTGGAGGACCATCCCCAGGATTACTCTTATGACCTTTTGGAGGCCCTTCAGGTTTACCATTACGATCTTTCGGAGGTCCTTCAGGTTTACCATTATGATCTTTTGGAGGTCCACTTCCAGGTTTATTGTTGTCTTTTAGAGGTCCATCTTCAGGCTTATCTTTATGATCTTTTGAATATTTATTTCCAGATTGATCCATATCGTCTTTTAAAAGCATCTCTTTAAGTTTATCCATATTGTGGAAATTTATTAAGTTTCTCCGTTTTGAAGGTTCTTTTCTAGGTTTATCCTTATGGTCTTTTGGAGGCCCTTCAGGCTTATCATTACGATCTATCGGAGGTCCTTCAGGTTTACCATTATGATCTTTTGGAGGTCCACTTCCAGGTCCATATGGAGGTCTAGTTTTACTTGGAGGACATTTCTTGTATTTTTCTATAAATATTCTGTATATTTTACAACTCTGGATTTACTTTTCTGATAAAATTTATACTTATATTTTTAAAAAATTCTCTTTTATAATAATTTATATTAAGATAAGATAATAAGATTTATATTATACATACATTAAGAAGTAATTAAAAAAATATATTATGCATTACGATAATTAAATAATTATATATATGTATTTATGCTATATAAATTAACATTTTGAAGTAAATTTGAAATTTGATATGTACATTTAAAATTTAATTTTAATTTTCTTTATTATAAAATATTGAAAACATATTGGCATATGTGGTATTCGATGTGATTATATTTTAAAGTATTTATTTTTGTTTCAAAATATAAAATTACCTTCTTTGTCGCTAGAAACAAAACAATTTGTCTCGTTTCGTATTTGTGTTAGATTCATAGACAAAATACGGAAATTTGTCTCGTTTATATCTAATGTATCAGTAATTACATTCTGATATCTATTTGTCAAGATTATTAATTGATGGAATGGATTACGTGCAATTTTCATTCCACTAGGAAATTGCAATTTTTCAGAATCTTGTGCGATGATCACCTTAAAATTAATATTTTATTTTACAAGAAATTGTATTAAAGATCATTAAATAAAATTATAAATAATAATTTGTTACGAAATAATATGTAGAGATACTAATTGCGTTTAAATATTATATGTCTTACTGAATTGTTGGAGTTAATTTCTTTAACAGTGTCCGCACATAATATGGATGTTTCCGGGATATTGCTAAAAAATACTACACGGTCATGAGATGCAATCGGTCCAGTTTGACCTGATAACATGCCTGCTAACTCCGTTACGTTATCAACCTCGCTGCTATTTAACGAGCATTCTGATTGCTTTGGTATATTCATTTTATATATATTGTCCCCCGATAAAGGAGCGTAATATAATTCTAAAATATTTGTAATGAAAATATTAAAGATTGTAAAAACTATCAAAATACTAATAATTATATGTTTAAGTTATTATTTTTGCGTTCTGTTATCGGTACAAAAATAAATAAATATAAATAAATAAATATATAATATATATGTAAAAAAAGCAAAAATAAATATATATAATTATAAAACAAGTAGTCCTAGATCTAAAAATTTTAATCTTAATTCTATAAAAAATTTAATAATTTAAAAATTGATACTTGCTTTCATGAATGAGTGTTTGGCCGAGAATACCATCGTTTAAGATACAAGTTTGACTTTCTAGATTGCATATAACATCAGTTGGTTTCATGTAATCAGATTCGATTCTACAGCAGTTTGAAGTACGCATATCACATTCTACTAAACCATTGCCTAGTGTATCAGATATTAATACCTGAGCCATGATTTAAATAATATAATAGTTACATATTAAGTTATATATTGCAGAATATGTTATATCAATTTAATAATATATTTGCATGAACACAAACTGGAAATTATGGACTATTGTGATTAATACATAATGCAATATTTACAAAAGTGTGTACTAACAATTGCATCATTTATATCGGTACATGGCGGGACAAAAACAGTAAGTGTCGTCAATAATCCAGTGTCATTTTTGTTCTTAGCGACACCATTTGGGATAATAATACGTTTAAATAGTTTATCAGTTGATAAATCAAAGACTAATAGTTGTGCGTCACAGACTTGCTTATCTCCAATTTGGCCACAATCCAGAAGAAAAAGATAATTGTCCATCATCTGATGTGTTAAAATAAAAATTATGTTCGATTTATATTGTCTTTATGTAGATGATTGTTTTAAGAGCAATTAGATTTAATTAAATAATATATAGTATTGTAATATATACAATTTTGCTCATACACATACGTTTGAAAGTAATTTGTGTAAAATGCAATTGTCCCTTAAAGATAAAAAATATTAATACTTACATACATACTATAAACATTAGTGATGCTGTTTATACATTTATTCGTATCAGCATCATTTTTATACCAAGACCAATCAGGATATGGACGCAAAAGTGGACCCCCAGCTCCTGTTTCATTAGTTACCGTCATCACGCTAGCTGGTACACCCTTCTCTCTTACCGAAGTAACGAATAATCTACCATCTACGAGAAATGTTGTAAATGATGTACAATTTTGTTGCAGTCTATTTTATTCATTACATTAGCAGTATTATATAATAAAACGGAATTTATTATATATTTATATAATAAAACGCAAATATATAATAAAACGCAGAACACACATCATATTAAATATATTTATATGCTTTTGCATATATATATATATATATATAAAGGGGTATTTGTATTTTTATATAAAAGCTCTGTATATGTATAAAGCTTTTATATAAAAGCTCCACTATCACTGTTTAATCTTTCGAATAGTATCAGCCTACCTGGTACTTTTTCTACGTCATATAAAATGCATGAGCTTCGGTTATAATTGCCAGAATCTATTGCTTCCTGGTTCTGCTGCGGACTGTCCCACACATAATCAACATATTTCCATTCATATTCAGTTTCCAGGTTTAGGCTAAAGTTCATAATTATCATCGATATAAGTGATACGACAAATAAGAGATGCTTCATTTTTATTGTAACAGATAGAACCACTATTATATATAATAAAGTAATTCAAATAATGTAACTATCATACCGATATACTATATACACTCGAATATAGACAAGCACATCAATGGTCGTTGTACAATACTAACCAATATTTATGATATTCTTAACTCATAAATATGATAATATTTTTTAGGTAAAGTTTTCATTAGAATTATCGATAAACAATTGTAGCCTCGTTAAAACGATTTAATGTTGTGTTGTTGCTAATGACATTTAAATTGTAAATGCATAATCAATTCTAACGTAAAGTACAAAAATGTAAAAAATTTGCACACTCAATTTTCTCGTAATAATTTTATACAAGAAAATGATAATATATTTCACGTATTTGTGCAAATGGTTTTACAAAAGTAAGCGAGAGTATAAATATTTCTTTCATCATTGTATTTTTGATGTAACAATCTGATTCATCTTTTATTTCCCTTTTTGCGTTTTTCTGTTTTGCAATTGGAAAATAAAGTAGTGTTTACATAAAGACATTGCTTATATAAGTATACTTTAGTCATCGATGTTATGTTTCGCGAACGTATTGTTAGAAAAAATAACTTTTGAATTTAATGTCTTTTACTTTTCTCTTAAGTTTAATTTTTCTAGATTGTTATTTATATCACTTAAAAACATTTTTTTGTTTTAAAGTTTATACTTGAATACATATGTATTGTAGGCAATTTTTTCTTTTTTTCTCATGAATACAAATTCACAATATAATTATACAATAGCTTTTTTGTCGAACGAAAAGTTGCGTTAACATGTTTTCAGAGGATTTGTTATACTCGAATAATGTAAAATAATGTAAATACGCATTTATTATTTTAATATTAATTGTATAATTATTATTTTTATTGCAATTATCTTCACTATCCGATGATAATCGATCACACTTTTCGGTCTTGAATAGAAAATTTTTAATGAATAATTCTGTCTAATCTATTATAATACAATTGACGTGTCAAAAGTGAAGAATTCCTGATATATCAAGCATTTCAATACGACTCTCATCTGTCGAAGTACAATCTCAGGAATTTTACTCTAGGTATTTGACATTGATAGGATATACAGTGGTTAGAGCCGCTCTTCAATTCCGCTCGGAAAAGTAGTACGAGGAGGAAAGAAAGAACAGTGAACGCGAGAGCGGAGAGATTGCTGCGTGCTTAACGAGACGTCGCTTGTCGAATAGATTGCGAGCGTTATATTGCCTGCCGTAATCTGACATGTCTGCTTAAATGATTTTTGTGTCCACCATCCGCGTTTTATTCGTTTCGTTTCGTGCGTTCCATCGATTCTCTCGAACGTGAATTTTTCTCGCGCAATTTAATTTATATATGTATGTATCATATATTATTTTTAACCCATTTGAATTTAAATTTCAAAAACAAATGCAAATGCAATGTAAACTGCATGCCGTTGCATTCCGCGCCCAAATACTTCAAATACTATATTATATAATTCTGAAGAGTATGCAGATAAGAAGTTAATGAACGGAAAACAACAAGATTATCGTAACTTTGAATAAAATTACTGTTCCAAGTTGTTCATCTGCTTTCTCTGCAAGTCGTATTCCTTTCGCTTTGCCGATTCTCGGATTTGCGAAGAAATTTAACATGTTTTGGCTTCGTTGAGATATTTATATAGCGTGTTTGTATTTTAAAATATTTTCACTATTGATTTAACATTAAATGTGATCATTTCTTCTTTATTTCACAATTACATTTAAATCGATTTTCATAAAAGTTAAATAAAACTTAAACTTAGGCGACGGCATTTAACTTTATGAACTCTAATTGGAAAAGTAAATGTTTTAGTACTATGAAAAAAATACTATTTAAAAAATAATAATTATCTAGCTTGTATAATTAGCATGTAATATTCAAATTTTGTCGACAATTTTTAACATCAACTCAGTTCTAAATATAAATGTTCGTATAAACTATAGTTTTATACCATATTAAATTTTAATATCTTGCATCGTATATTCTCATATGTTTTATATAAATATTATATTGATTTCAATTCATATGAAATAAAACGATTTAAATAACTTTGGCGAAACAATTAGGTTGGTTTCGAAGGAATTTTAAATAATCACAAATTATTGCAATTGATTTTCTATCAAGTCTATTAGTGGTCTAATTATTATATTATTTTTTTTAATAAATTTTTCTACAAAAATTACATATTGAACGCAAATAACAGGGGCAATTAGATATATATGTATATACCGACGAATAGGCGAGGGTAGGAAAGTAATTGAAGGACGTCTCATAGACGTCCCTTGATTGGTTTAACAGGATTTAGTTCCTGTAATGCCAAACTCGACGTCTGCTGTTGCGGTTGGCTTTGGTCAGACGCATTATCCGAAGATCGTTAACATAGAGTCAACGTAATAAGGGCAAGCACGCTATCGCACGAAATCGACTTTATAAAATTACATAAAATTACCAAATGTATTTTTGATTGTGCTAAAATTTCTCAGACTTTTTATATTTTATCGCGATAAAAATTGGCGAGCAAGAAATTGTTCTGATTATATAAATTTCTAAAAGATTGATCGTGTGTATAAAGTTGAAAAATTTTAATAAGAAAAGCATGCTATATTTTTTACATATATAAATTCATTATACTTTCTTAAGAGATCTCAAAGTAAACGTAATATTTATTTAATAAAACTAATATATTTATTCATACGTATTAATATATCATGTTTTTTAAAATTGAAAATACTTCGTGAAGTACGAATATATTCGTTGATCGTTATTAATAAAATTGATTGGGATATATTTTATTATGCACGCGGTGCATTTTGTTTGAGGTTTTTTGCTTCGTGTGCGGAAGTACTCGTAATGAATCCGTATACATCAGAAACCGTATTCCTAGTTCGTGTCTATTTCGCCCTCTTTCGTATTCCATCCTATCCGAAAGGGCTGCATTATAGATCGTGTGAAATCCAAGTGTCTGACCTCGATCAGCAGCGTTGGTGGGTCGCGTTAGAGAGGAGAAAAGGGAGGACAGAAGCAGCCCCTCGTGTGAGGGAAGGATCGAGCGTATGAAAGAGGGAATGAGAGGGATAGAATCATCGTGCGAATTTTACGTTAACCCGATAGCTGGTTGGAATAGATTACATCGATCGGGAAGTAAAATCTATCTGTGCGGATAACGCTTCTATAAACGGTCCAGACATTGTTAGCACATTTTCACCTTTTATTCGCGATAACTGTAATGTCTATTTCCGCTGCATATGATTAGATAAGATCATTTCAAAAATGGTAAATATATATTATTTTTTTTAGAAGAGCTATGACGCTTAGAGGGCTGTCTTTCTAATTAAAAACATATATATAAAAAATTAAAGATATTTTATATATGTATATTTAAAGATAATTATTAACTTTAATAAATTTGTTACAAGAAGTTATAATTTAATTAATTTAATTAGTTTAGAAGACTCTAATTTAAATCATATTTTAATAATGTAATTTTAAGTCATACATTTAAAATTTTTATATTTAATAGTTTTTAATAATATATTTCATTTTTAAATATCGCAGAAATAATTCACAAGAGCTGCAAAAAATGACGTATATGAATAAGCAATTTATACTTCTTTTATCAATATTATTTATTTATTTATTTATTTTTTATGAAATATACAGAACGTTTTCAGTTTTCACATAAATTTTATAATGATACTGCGAGATATATATGCAAATACAAAGTGGTCATGCATGTGGAATGATGAGTTTTGTGTATCTCTGGCCACTTGCATTCTAATTAACAAATCCACCTCGCTTTTGTACTACATGAGACAATTCCCACTGTTACGTGATCCTATCTGATTTTAATCGCAAAATCACTTTATACCATCCACTTTGTACTTAATTGCGTTATAGCTTCATTGCTTTGCTTACGGAATAGTTAGGCGTTGAAGACTTTTTTTTTCATATTTGTGTTTCCATCGCGGCAAAGCGCGAAACAATGAATTTATTCCACTTTTGAACACTTACCCCTTATAATCTTGTTAAAATACGCGGCAATTGAATTAACTTTTCTACAAAGAAAATGTCTGCCGAGAAAATTCGAGTTTATTTTACTTACTTGCATCTACTCTTACGTAAAATTTCAAAGGAAGAGATTAAAAATTTTGCAGCATATAAAATCATTTATAGAGATAAAAGAGCTGACATATTTTATTTTCTTCTTTTTTATTCAGAAGCATATTTTTTATCAAATTTGAGGGCATTAAATAAATTTTTTACACATTATAGTTTAATTTTCAATTTAGATTTTTATAACAATGAAAATTATGTATATTATAATGGGAAACTATAAATATAAGGCTTTTTATATCTCGTCACATTACAGCAACGTTAATTTTGTGAACATGTTGGATTTAAGGCAATTTGAAGATAAGCTCTTTAATCTTGTTATTTATCTATATAAGAGACTTTTTATCGTTAATACATATTTATATAATAATATACATATATATATATATATATATATATATATACATATATTTATATTTATAAAATTATTACATTCACTTATAATATGTTTATTATTATTTTAACATATGTACATATATCATGCAATAGACCACGATATCATGTATGATGATATTCTTTTAATTGTATATTATTCTCTCACTCTCTTTTTGTAATATTATTTTCTGCTATAACAAAAAAGTGAGATTAATCTTACTTAGAGTTGAAATAAACTCAATAAATTCACTAACTTTCTTATAATTTGCATTCACGTCGGTTACACTAGGCAACCCTCATGCTTTAGAAACTTGTATTGGAAAACGCGCTTATTCCGCTCCTTCTAACCATTCGCAATTAGTCGAATTAATTACGCAGTACCGTTGTACGAATAAAGCGCGAGTTCGCGTTTCCCGTGTCGCAACTGTGAAAATTTGCCGGTACGGATGGTGGCATTAAAAAGTTTCCCGCTCCGATCGTGAACTTTTCAAAAGTAGCATACTCTTCCTCGCCGCGAATCGCGAGAAAACGGATGTAAGCTGATCGCGGCCAATTACGCTCGACAAATTTTTCATGCCGGCGAAATC